GTAAGCGACGGTAGAAACTTTGAGCTACGTGTATGGGAACCGTACCGACGCCATATGTATGCATACGAGACACCGAGACACCTTCACAAATAGGTACACGTACTCAAAAAACACTCCACACTCCACACTCCCTTCGATATATACCACACATTGTCTAAATAGTGTGCAAATAAGCAATACGTGAACTAATCATTCGAATGACATATCGAACGACACCCGTGCTGCCCTATCTAGCTGACGGCTGACTGCACAGTGTGTTGGCTGTTGTCCCGGATCAGAGGCAGGAGCATTTCGCTCACCAGCCCCACCTCCCTCTGCTTGGAATTGATGATCATGGTGGCATTGGGCAGCACCTTCCGGAAAAACAGCGGATGGCGGCTCCTGATCAGCTCCTTCAGCTTGCCAAGCTTGAGCTGACTGAAGCAGAGGGGGCCCCACTTGCTGCATTGATAAGCAGTGCCCAAGCCGCAGAAGTCTTTCTTGTTCTTCCAGCAGAGAGCGGTGTCGCAGAAGAGCTCTTCGATGTGGGGCTCCCTCTGCTGGCTCCAGTCACCCAGACCACCGTTGACCTGCGAGAATGACAGCATTACACACGCACCATGTGTGTGTCGTCACACGGACATCCCTCTCATTACCTGCTTCCAGACAGCCTTGTTGCCCAGCGTGCGTCTCAGCACATGGTGGGGGAACCACTCATCTGAGGCAGATTTCAGCGGCCTGTACCAATTGGGCAGCTCGCCGTGGGGGTAGTTCACGCCTTGGGCGGCAGTAAGGACGGCGTGATAACGATTGTACGTCCGCCACTGCATGTGCTTACGATCTGTGGCCACACACGTACATTACATGTGCACTTTCACATTCGTCAATCAATCTGTAGGCAGCTCTCCGTTCGATTCTGTTCTTACCGTATCCCTCATTGCTCTCTGCGTCTTGACACGAGGGGTCTCGTGCAATAGAATCGACCACATCCGCTTCTCTCCGGTCCGGTCCCGACTGCTTGAAGTGATCTCGATAGCTGCACGCACAGAACACATCAAGAATCATTCGGCTACCTCCCGCATCCCCATGACTGTATGCGGCTGCCTGCCCTACCATATTCTACTTGTCGGCAGGCCGCCCATGTCATCGCTTCTCGTCTCGAAGAGCACGTCGTAGACGACATCCGGGTGTGACACGGGGACGTGAGTGACACTCAGGAGCACCATCATCTGGTTGCACGGGTCGCGAAGGGCGGCCCGCCACAGGGCGTTCTCACCCAGGATGAAGCTGCCGTAGCTCGTGTCGACGGGCTCGATGAGCGAGGCATTGAACAGGGGATGAAGGGCCGCAGTGGCGTTGTCGTGCCGGTGCAAATAGACAGTGAACTTGCGCCTGTCGCTGGCCAGGCCAAGCCAGTCCGCCCACAGCTGACCGAACGGCACCTTGTCTTTCGCAAGGAACAGCAACGCGACGCTCGGCGGCCCGCGGCACTCCCCACACCCCTCTAAGGCAAATCGCTCACTCGACGGCTTGACGCAGTAGAACTGCTCTGTCGACGATGCGTTGGGCTGCCCGAGGGTGGTCTTCTCCAGCGGCACCAGATGCCTCTCCTTGAAGGCCGAGAGGAAGCCGTCCAGGTCGTCGCACATAAGCGACCCGCGAGTGGCCTCGCGCACCGAGTGAAAGAGGGAGAGGGAGGCGAGCCGCAGGCCGGATGAGCCCCATCCGACGGCAAGGAGGCTCCGAAAACCGTAGACAAACGCAGCAGCGACAGTCCACACGAACATCCACTTGCGAACTCGCCGGCGCCCATCCGCATGATGTCGTTTTTTGGGGCTGGGGCTTCCCATCCTTTGCTGTGGCAGACAAAGAGCCTTCATGGACAGCAGTTTGTCCCGTACGGCAGACGTTGCTGTAAATTCACTGTTCAGGCAAACGAGCGGCCATGGTAGGGCAATCCCCGCTTGACGCATGGCAAACCAGCACCGATTCTGAGCGTCACTGCCATCGTACAAGAACATACAAACCATGACGTGAGACTGACAGGTTCTTCTTTGCAAGAACGCACTACTTCTCCACATTGACAGCTCCATCCCGAAAATACACACAGAACGATTGAATCAACCGATGGAGACACCAACAACTGTCATCCACGTATCCATCCATCCATCCATCCATCCATCGAATCTCTCTCACAGGCAAGTACATGCACGCCAAAGCCCCGCAACAGCTGTATAGTGTGGCGTGATCCCCATTACGCACTGGCCACTTGGGGCAACATGCAGTAGTGTAAGGGGTGTCACTCACTGGTCATGCACCCAAACACTCGGCTATCCTCTCTTGTTCGGGTGCACTGCGGTCTCGTGCGTGACAAAGCGGCAACTATCGAAACACGCACAGCATTATTCGACCAGATAGCTGACTACAAAGATGGCCACAGACAGACCAGAGCAGGCACAAAGGCATGAAACTACATGCCTTCCTCTGCACTGGCAGAGAGACAGGCAGCTAGAAATAAGAGGTAAAAAATAGATAAAAACAGAAGGTAGAATGAATTACGGCGGCCCGCTGTAGTTCCGGATAAGTGGCAGCAGCAGCTCACCGACTCTGCCC